GCGCACGCACACGGGCGAGCGGCCCTACCCGTGTGGCGAGTGCGGCCAGCGCTTCCGCCTCAGCTCGCACTTCATCCGCCACCGTCGCGCGCACATGCTGCGCCGTCTCTACATCTGTGTTGTCTGTGGCCGAGACTTCAAGCTACCGCCTGGCGCCAAGGCCACCACTGCCACTGAGCGCTGCCCAGAGTGCGAGGCTAGATGAGCACCCTTCTTGTCGCTGCAGCGTGCTAGTGCCTGGCTGTGGAGGAGCATGCCAGGGCCCCAACCCCCAGGGGCTGAATTGACCTGGAAGGACGACTCAAGGCCACCCTGGTCTGGGGAAGGGTGACATGGCAGGACTGACTGCCCTGGACCTGGGAGACATGGCGAATCCCCTGCCGGGATTTCTGGAAACTGGCCTCTTCCCCCTCACTACAATCCTCAGCCCGTGTTAGTGAATAAAGTATTATATCTTCACCCCTCCCGTGTCTGTGAATGAGGTGGCTGGGAGAGGAGCCAAGTTGAGGTTTTCCCAGGCCTAGGTGGCTTACGTGAATTGTCACTGAACCAAGTGGGGCTATAAGCCCAAAGGGGTTCCTGGAACTGGGTTTGTGTGTGTGTGGAGTCACCCCACACTCGGCCCTTGGTTATGTCCTCATAACCTCTGATCTGGAAGGGCCCATAAATATAGCACATTCGTGCTCAAACAGGCACTGCATTCTGCAGAGCTTTGGTGAGCAGCCACGGACATCCTGGAGCTCAGTGTGGTGAACAGACAATACTCTATTGCACTATGTGAAAGGCTCTATGTGCTTTATTATTATTAGCTCACTGTCATCCTCAGCATCCCAGAGTTAGGTAAATCATATCTCCATTTCAGCAGATGAGTAAATAGGTTCTGACAGCCAGTGGATGGCAGAGCAGGGACAAGCATACAGGCATTGGCAGTACACTGTCATTTGCTGTGACGGGGAGTTGTTGGTTAGGTCTTTAATGCAATCTTGGAGTTTAGAGAGGCTTTTTTTGGAGGTGATAGGCTTAAGCTGGTCTTGAAGGCTGAGAGAGAGATGGGGTTGTGGAATTAGGAAGAGCCCCTGAAAGTGCATGCCAGACTTGTTAGAGCTTGCAGACGTCCCAAGGGGGGAGGAGAGAGGGACAGAGCAAGGAGGTTGGCAGGAGATAGACCACTAGGGAACTTAGATGCCAGGTGAAAGGATCCAAGGCAGCAAAGAAGCCTTGAGGGATGAGAGGGAATGGGTGGAGTGGAGATATAAAGCTAAATTCTGAGGATGAAGGAGGCGGGGCTGACTTCATTTCTTAGTATGGATGACTGCTAAGTTAACTTATTTTTGTTAGATAGTATTTACATTATTGACTATGTAAAAATTCATTTCTGAATACTAAATATGATTATATTTTGTCATATATGGTTTTTTCCCCCTGTTTTTATTGATTTTAGAGAGAGGAAGGAGAGGGAGGGAGACAGAAACATTTATCGGTCACCTTCTATATTCATCCCGACTGTGAATTGGACCTGCAACCTTGGTTTGTGCCCTGACTGGGATCAAACCTGCAACCATTAGATGCACAGGATGATGTACAGCAAACTGAGTCACACCAGCCAAGGCTAATTATCACTAATTTATATCTTTCCTTAGCCTTCCAAATACAACTTTTCATGAAATTAAATGCATCAATACTGTTTCTGTTCCACTTTCCTTTTTCTGGAAGCTTTCCTGGCTCCTGATCCAGCATGGACTGTTGCTCTCCAAGCCTGCTGTACCTTGATGTCCCCTTTCACCTCTCTCCTGGGCTGGATGGGATTTTCTGAACCCCATGTTTTTTCTGTTTTGGTCTGCTCTCTTGTTTGGCTGGAGCACATCTTTGAGTAGTTTTTTTCTTTTTTTTTTTTAAATATATCTTTATTGATTTCAGAGAGAGGAAAGGAGGGAGAGAGAGAGACAGAAACGTCAATGATGAGAGAGTCACTGATCGAGCCTGCAACCCAGGCATGTGCCCCGACCGGGAATCGAACCCCGATCGCCTGGATCCTAGGTCGACGCTCAACCGCTGAGCCACGCTCACGCTCCGCCGGGCGAGTAGTTTCTTGAGAAAGTTCATGGGATGAAAACACTTTGATACCTAACATGTCTAAAAATATCGTTATTCTACATTTTTGAAAACTGTGGCTCAGTATAAAATTACACAGTTTGGAAAATCATTTATCCTCAGAATTTTCAAGGCATTCCTTCATTGGTTGCTGAGAAATCGGATACCCTTCTTATCTGGAAACCTCTGTAGGTGATCTTCCCCTGGCCCCAGAAGACTTTAGGAGAGCATAGTGAATAGAAGCATGGACTCTGGAGTCACATTGCCTAGAAGACTGCCTGTGTAGCCTCGGGCAAATTTCTTAAACTCTCTGCATCTCAGCTTCCTTATTGACAAAATGGTGTTGTTGGAATTTTAAATGTTAAAAATGTAAAACAGGAGCTCTCCCTCTGGGAGGGCACCTGAGCCTTTCCCTTTCCCTGTCCCCTCTCCTCCCCCTCTCCCTCTCTCCAGGCACATTACCTTAGCTTCCTCACTCCTAAGCTCCAAGGCCCTTTCCTTTAAAAAAAAAAAAAAAAAAATGTAAAACACTTAGTGCCTGCCAAAGAGTCTGCACTATATAAATACTTGTGATTATTATTGTTGGGTCTCTTTATCCCTGGCATTTTAAATTTTAGTAATAAAAATAGTGTCTTTTTTCATTCACTATGCTGGGAATTAAGAGGTATGGGACACAACTTCTAAATTTTGAAAAACTTTCTTATATTACTCTTTGATAATTTTCTTCCATATGCTTTATTACCTCTTCCTGGAATTCCTTTTAGATGTTGAACCTCCTGGCTCACCTCTGATTTTTAATATATTTTTATTCTATTGTACATCTTTTTTAGCTTTTTGTTCTACTTTCTGGTAATGTATTCAACTTTATCTTCTAAGTCTTGTGATTTTTACAGTCTTAGCTATATTTTTATAAACTGTTTTGTTCTTAACTTTTCATGGACACTTGATCTTCTTTTATCTTGGCTGCTTTTTTCCTTCCACTCCCTGTATTGTCCCTTTCCTGAAATTTTTGTTAGGTTTGACCTCTTTCAAGTTGGAGGCTTGCCTCAAATGACTGCTCATATGTAAAAATTAGGTATGAAGCCCTAGCCCTTTGGCTCAGTGGTTAAAGCATCAGCCCAAGAACTAAAGGGTCCCGGGTCCGATTACAGTCAAAGGCACATACCTCAGTTGCAGACTCAATCCCTGGCCCCAGTCAGGGTGGGTGCTGGAGGCAACCAATTGATGTTTCTCTCTGTATGCCTTCCACTCTCTGAAAAGCAATGAAAAAATATACTTAGGTGAGGATTAAAAAGATTTAGGCATTAGAAAGACTGCTTGAGTGAAGATTTTCAACTGGGAGAATTCCTCATACAGGGATTTTGACTGGGGGCTCCTTAAATGCTTCTATTTATGTCTTTTTTCTGGGCACGTTCATTTTCTCCAGGAGCAGAGGTATAAGCTTCCTGCATTATTTTCCCCACTTTTATTAATTCACATTTTCTGGGAAAAAAACCTCCCTTTATCTGCCAAGCTGAGGAGCAGAGTCTTCTGGCTGTGTGAATTGGGGAGAACTTTT